AAGGAAAATGAGTAACATTCATAGACAACTGGGTCCTCTTCTATGACAGAAATGACATGTATGCCAGGGATGGGGTTCACTTATCTAGGTTTGGGGTGGGAGCACTGGCCAACGCAGTGGAGGCAGCTGTTAGGTCCTTAAACTAGAAATAAACAGTGGTCCCATTATTGGAAGTAGGTCAGGCCTCGGATTTAGCGAAGGAGTTGCAGAAGATGTATCGATCTGCAGCTGTTGAAGACGTTGTCAGAAGTCAGTTGGGTGATAAATGAGATACATATATTCATCAAAGACACATGTTGAAGAACACGCTTTTATTGACATCAAGCATCGCTCGTGTGACTTGATAAAGCTCTACTCGGAACGAAGCATAGTCTCAAGAAAAAATATTTTTCTGCGTGTGCTTTATCCGAACTGAAATTTTCAGCTAGGCTTCTGTTCATTCACGAGCATTTCGGTAGACTTGTAATTTGATCTTTCTTGTGACTGCAGGGAAGAAGCGAGACTACTTCGTATCCATGCATCAGGAAGTGGGCACGGAGAACAGCGTACCCTGCCTGCGTGTGAACCACTACCCACCCGTCCTTTCCACACTACCCGAGGGCACCACTACCTGCTTCAGTGCCCACACTGACTACACCACCTTCACCTTTATCTTTCAGGATAACATGGGTGGCCTTCAGGTAGGCTCATGGATGAGAAAATATTGTCCACCGTGTCGGTACTCTGTACCCATCAATATACTTTGTTTTTATTTCACTTTCTTTATTAACACACTGGCCGATTCCCACCAAGGCAGGGTGGCCCGAAAAAGAAAAACTTTCACCATCATTCACTCCATCACTGTCTTGCCAGAAGGGTGCTTTACACTACAGTTTTTAAACTGCAACATTAACACTCCTCCTTCAGAGTGCAGGCACTGTACTTCCCATCTCCAGGACTCAAGTCCGGCCTGCCGGTTTCCCTGAATCCCTTCATAAATATTACTTTGTTCACACTCCAACAGCATGTCAAGTATTAAAAACCATTTGCCTCCATTCACTCCTTTCAAATACGCTCACGCATGCCCGCTGTAAGTCCAAGCCCCTCGCACACAAAACCTTCTTTCCCCCTCCCTCCAACCTTTCCTAGGCCTACCCCTACCCCGCCTTCCTTCCACTACAGACTGATACACTCTTGAAGTCACTCTGTTTCGCTCCATTCTCTCTACATGTCCGAACCACCTCAACAACCCTTCCTCAGCCCTCTGGACAACAGTTTTGGTAATCCCGCACCTCCTCCTAACTTCCAAACTACGAATTCTCTACATTATATTCACACCACACATTGCCCTCAGACATGACATCTCCACTGCCTCCAGCCTTCTCCTCGCTGCAACATTCATCACCCACGCTTCACACCCATATAAGAGCGTTGGTAAAACTATACTCTCATTCATTCCCCTCTTTGCCTCGAAGGACAAAGTTCTTTGTCTCCACAGACTCCTAAGTGCACCACTCACCCTTTTCCCCTCATCAATTCTATGATTCACCTCATCTTGTTTTTATATGCAACTAATTTTATGTTGTTACATAACATGTTTATGCTCTACCAGGAAGCATTAGAGGAAAATTATGATAACATTTCGATTCGTCCTGGATCATGATTCAAATTATGATAAAGCGAGAAATTTGCAGTGAACCGAGAGACAGGTTGAGAAGTAGTAGTAGTAGTAGTAGTAGTAGTAGTAGTAGTAGTAGTAGTAGTAGTAGTAGTGTTGTAGTAGTAGTAGTAGCAGTAGTAGTAGTGCAGTAGTAGTAGTAGTAGTGTGTGTAGTAGTAGTATTGTAGTAGTAGTAGTGTAGTAATAGTAGTGTAGTGAGTAGTTGTAGTAGTAGTTGTGTGTAGTAGTATTAGTAGTAGTAGTAGTAGTGTAGTGTTAGTAGTTAGTAGTAGTAGAGCAGTAGTAGCAGTGTAAATAGTAGTAGTAGTAGTAGTAAATAAATAGCGTAGTAGTAGTTGTAGTGTTGTAGTAGTAGTAGTAGTAGTAGTGTAGTAGTAGTAGTAGCAGTGTATGTAGTAGTAGTAGTGTGTAGTTAGTAGTAGTAGCGTAAATTGTAGTTGTTGTAGTTTTTAGTAGTAGTAGTAGTAGTAGTGTAGTAGTAGTAGTAGTAGTGTAATAGTGGTAGTATTGTATTAATAGTAGTAGTAGTAGTAGTGTTAGTAGTTTTAGTAGTGTAGTTGTAGTGTAGTGTTGTAGTAGTAGTAATGTAGTAGTAGTAGTAGTTTGTAGTAGTAGTAGTATTGTAGTGTAGTAGTAATAGTAGTAGTAGTAATAGTAGTAGTAGTGTAGTAGTAGTAGAGTAGTTTGCAGTGTAGTAGTAGTAGTAGTAGTAGTAGTAGTAGTAGTAGTGTAGTAGTAGTAGTAGTGTAGTAGTAGCAGTAGTAGTAAGTAAATAGTGTAGTAGTAGTAGTAGTAGTAGTAGTAGCGTTAGTGTAGTAGTAGTGGAAGTAGTATAGTGTAGTAGTAGTGTAGTAGTAGTTGTAGTATAGTCCAGTAGTAGTATAGTAAAAAACAGCATACAGCAGTTGTTGAAGTCTGTAGTTGAAGAATAGTAACTGTAGTAGTAGATGAACTAATAATTGATTTTTTTCATATTTATAATAACAATACAGTATACATAAAAATAAAAATAAAAAAAAGGGAAACAGTAATGGATTTAAACCTGAAGGATCGGCATTGACATAAGAAAACCAAACACAAAATAAATAACACAATGGGTTGCCCTATATCTGGCAAGATATGCTGTAAAAACATAAACAAAAATTACGGCAAAAACAAGTACAAATAAACACGTAACAGGGTCATGAACGACAAAATAAACTTCATGACCAAAACCAAATTACATATAAATTTTACATAAACTGAAATGACAAAGACTCATTACAAGTGAAAAAATATATACGAAAAATGTAACATTATTTCCACCTTCTCTTTAATCAATAAACCAAAACCAACATTAATCCCTACTAGAAATCTACAACTTACCCCTAAATTACGTTTTACATTCCCAAAATACAAATAAACATACAAAGAAAACAGCTTAGATCTAAAACCCCGGGCTCATTACTTTTAAAATTTAAACCCGAACAACAATCTAGACACAAGGAATGGTCCTATAAACTGCTAATATATCTGAACCATACAGCCAAAACTTACGTCAAAACATAGCCATGAAAACCCAATTCAGGAGCTGCAGCCTATAAGACATCTCAACTACAATTAAAAAAAAGTTCGAAAAGGGAACTAAAAGAGCATGTTGAATACCTATAAACCTCCATCACATACACCCAGTTTTTGTCTTTGAAACACTTTGAGGACAAAAAGAAAAACCAAACAACTAATCATCCTTGTGTCCCCTCCCCTTCAAACCACAAATACTGTGAGATGTACCCCTTCACACAACACACAATGTAGTGCAACAACATACTACATTTTATATGCAATCCCCTTCTGAAAAACAATTGAAAAACAATCTTCAAAAAACCCCCAACCAAACCTCACATCACAAAAGAATTTATTGTATTTTATTCCCAAAATACCACACACCTAAATCAAACACATCCCAAATCAAAAAAACTAGCCCACGAAACCCCCTTATTTTACACTTAAATCTTTAAATCCTTCAACCTGAATCTACGAAAACCCTTCAGTAAATCTGTCCCCCATCTTCCCCATAAAGTCCCTAGGGCACTTTGTTCTATACATCGGGGCCCTAAACTTTTACCTTTCCTCACCCCCACCTCCCTCATTCCCCAAGATTAAAAAATAAAATCAGTGACCACATACGCAACCCATTCCCACCTGCGACCCCCCCCCCTAATCTAAATTAACACCCGCAACACCTTAAACCCCTTTCCCCACCCACTAACCAACTACCCTACTTGCCAACCCTCACATTTTCTAAACAAGTACAAAAGTACACACTGAAAAATGGTTTCCGGACATCCCACGCTTTCACCCCCCACCCTCCCTTTCCCTTTTAAAAACACAACCCCAGACGGCAAGATCCCATGTAAAACCTAAACATAACCCCCTGACATTTGGGTTTTTTACACGTAGTTGTTAAACATTTCCATCGAACCCCCATGCTACATAGGGTATCCCCCTCAACTGCCGCCCCCACAGACCCACCCCCCCCCTCTCAAAACCTTAAATTTTAAAGCTTTTCGGATCCCTTACCTTCGTAAAATCGCAACATCCCCCAAACAAAAAAATCCCTACCCCCCCCACCACCTTTGCATACCAAAGCGCGTCTTTAAAGGGCCCCCCCCCCCCCGCAACCCCCTCCCTCCAAACCCCCCCCCCTTTTCAAGAAACAAAATCAACAATCCCCGTTTTCAAGAGGTATAAGGGGCCCCAGCCCCCCCCCCGGCTAAAACAACCCCATCACTTACCAACAACCACCCCAAAAAAACTAAACCCCCCATTAAACCACCACACCCAACATAAAAAAAACCCACCCAAAAAAACCAAAAAAAAACAGCATTTACTTAATTTGATGCAACGAAAAGTGCTCTGTCCCTCAAGCCTCCCAATTTTTTCAAACCCCATCCACGGTGCCCCTCGAATTTGCCTTTTGTGCATCCCTATCTTCCGCATGTACATACCCACATACAACAGCTGATATACCCACCCCCCACCCTCAACACTCACCATTATGTACGCTACCCCTAGACCAAAATACTTGGACTTTCTACATTAATTTTCATCCCTGTAGCCTCACCAAAAACGTCTATCACCCTTCCACCCTTGTAAATCCCCACATCCCCCCCAAACATTCGTATATCCACGAAACCCACTATACCCGCTTCCCCTTCACGGAAACCCAAACCCCTCGCTCTAGCTATACTCCCCCTAAACTGCCCTAAAAAAGGGGCTCTAAAAACATGCAAAAAAAAAATTTGCGACAGAGGGCTCCCTGTCGAAAAACCCCTTCCATCTGAATGCTTCACCTACGCCCTTTAAACCCTGTTTTCCATAACTGCACCAGATCAAAGTTTTTGCGCAAGAAACAATTTCCCCCCGAAATCCAAAAAAACCGAAAAAACTCCATAATGCATCCTTTCTACGCTATCATAAGCCGCTCTCCAATCCAGAGCCAAAAACCCCCTCCCCCTCCCCCTATGCTCTAAAAAAAAAACTCCTAAAATCCATGCCCTTTTAAAAATTGATCTACCCCGGTATGCCAATTGTCCCCTTTCAATTACTTTCCCAAAACCTGTTTGATTTTGTTCCCAATACCCTGCAATAACTTTTAACCCCCGCACAAAGCGTATTGCACGGAATCTTCTACCCTGATCTGTCCCCCCTTTGGCCAATACACAACGCAGTCCCTTTCTGCCACCCATTGCCCCATCTTCCTTTATTACATTGAACAATTTACTAAAAATCTCCTCAATACTTTTCCCATTTTTTAACATAAAATCATTGGCAACCCGCTACACCTGGTGCCTTACCTAAACTTGCACCTGTATAGCTTGCCAAAATTTTCCCCCTTCCGAACGTCCTCCAAACTCCCTATCTTACCCTCAAGCCGCATTTCACTAACCACCCCTTTTCCCCTTTAAAACTTTATCTCGTTACCCACTGTTTTGCATTGACCTAAACATGCATCAAATATTTCCCCATACCTTCAGTCGAC